TGAGACTGGAGCGTCTTCCTCACTTTGCTGTTGAGTTGACTCCTCATTCCCTAAATTTTGCTCCACTTTTGCTTAGTTTATCACCTGAGATTTATCTGTACTGACCGAAAGGGGGCAAGGTTTCTCCAGCAAAAAGGATGTAGAACTTCCGCTGAGGAGTCTTTCGAGGTTAGCAAAGGTATTAGTTCGTTTTATTTGTTTGCAAAATGTCTTTGCTGCGATTATCCAGTCTACGGAATGGCCGTGCTTGATGTGTTAGAGAATGCAAGGTTTTGATAAATTTAATAGTAGCTTTGGAGGCGACGCTGTAGGGAGATTAAATAAGCAGCTTGGAATTACGCCTTCCTCGTTAATATAGGGTTTAGAAGTAGTACGTATTTAGAGCCGTTAGAAGTGCGCGCTGGAATGCTTCAATCTTTTTTGAAAAGTTGTAGCGGGTTACCTTTGTTGGGACTATAATTTCAACGGGCCCTTCAAAGCTTTAAGTGGTAGTTAGCTCCAAAAAATAAATGCGATATCAGTTTCATATTCATCGTTGAGGCTGTGTTTGAAAGGCTGTGTTCCGCACTTGCTCGATTGAATAAATAGTTTTGGCTCCCTTTAATTTCGAATTTTCTTTGTGTGCAATATAAGTCGCATGTTTTTCCTTCATATCGTGTGTTACTTCTCGTTCAATCTTCCACGAAACCAAGCATATCTCATCGCTTGACTGTGCCGTCATAATGCACCATTCTTCCATTTGTCGTTCGTGAAGTAGTTTGCAGGTAACCATGGTGGTAGGTAAAGTTTACCAGGCGGCTAAATGGACCACGGAGACCGTTATTGGAGCAGCACAAGCCCTTGCTAATACAAAGGGCCCAGTGCCAGCCACAGATCTCCATCCACGAATGCCCGCTCGACCATGGACAGCTCAAGAATACGTTGGTTTTGCCAGTTTTACTCTCATTTATTCATAGTTGTACATTCATCAGCTCTTCTATAAGGCTTTAGCGCTGTTTTAAATCCGTTGGCGTTTTATCTCCATCCTTTATGCCAAAAAACAGAGAGATTAGTAGAACGTAGATTTAATACTTTTCTCCCAGTCCATGTTTTGTTTCCAGCTGCGTATGTGGTCATGGCGTCATTGCTGGAAATACATCCCAGTATTCCGTTTCTACGTCTACTCTGGCATCATTATGTTTGTAATACTGAAATACGTTGTTCCATGTGAGTCTATTTTTATCTTCTTTGAGTTTCAAAAGTGTTTCAAGCATCTGTTCTTTT